CCATTTACCTCCTTCTCTATATCCATACAAAATATCTATCAAACAAATAAAATTAAAATTTTCTTTTGAAAAATGAAACCATTCCATCAGTATTTTCTTATGACGTTGTCACGTTCAACTATCGTCAGTAAACCGACTTTACAGACAACCGATTTTTTAACTAATTTAAGCACTGTGTTTGCTTTTCATGTTTATAAATTGCTATTAGGTAATAAAAAATCACATTCAACTAACTGAGTAAGTAGGGTTAAAATTAGGATAGGACATTTTTTGGTGATCTTCGTATTTTGTGTTATCTAGAATAATGCTTTCTTTCTCAAATTGACATACTACACAAATGTACACTAAACAAATAAGCAGAAAAATTCTATATTAAAAAGAGTACCTACATATTCATATATTTCCGTGCTCAAACCATTTGCAAGCAACAAACTAGTCTAAGTGTTCCTCAGCCCCTTTTAACTCCTGTTTCTGCTTCTAATATGTCTCTGTTAACCCTTCATGACTCTTATAAGCGTCCATCCTATCTTTCGTTTTTCTTATTATTTACATTACACATTTATTTGCCTTTCCCTTTTTTATACCGCACGAGTGACAATACCTGTTTTGATGGACGTCTGAAATATGTTTTTTCAACCACATCTGTCTGGAAATATCACCAGTTTCTCTTAAATCTATCCTAAATTAACCAAACTCTCAAAATTTTCTGAACAAAACCTAGGACTTCTCAAAGTCTTTAAATTGCATTAATTGAACTTATATTAAATATTGATGTGAAAATTAATTTTCAATTTTTACCCATAATAAATTGCCTCAAGTTAATAAATAAAAAATTTTTGCTATTGTCACACACTCGCCGGGAATCGAACCCGAGACCTTTGGCTTTACGCACCAACAGCTAGGTCTAGGTATTTGTACGAATTTTCTTCTTCGTAATCTGAAGACTGGTTGGAGACAAATTAATAACATATTTAATATTAAATATTATTTATTGTTTAACAATATGTATATCATCCTCCCATAATATATTAATTCTTATAATTACAGACCTTTAAAATACTTTTTCATTATTTTTAATTTCATACACCTTCTTGGGCTTGTTTGTATTCATAAACACTTCCTCTTTCGACAAACGTCGAAGGAATATTCTTTCTGGTTCTTTCGTGTTCCTCCTTTAAATCTTCAGATCCATAACCTCCTCCTCCAGGTGTAAATAATTGGAATATGTCCTGGAAGTATAAACTTTAATTTCCAAAACAGCGCATAGTACGATATCTAACTAAAAATTCTTTTTTTCTTTACTTACCCCTGGTTCTATAGGTACAGCCGTCTTAGGACCAAGATTTATTGTTCTACCGTTGTTCTTCACCAGAATATTAATTCCTCTTTCACCTGGAGTACCACCTAATTAGGGAAAACAATTAAACAATTACAAAGCCACGATTTTATGCAGGTTAAGTCATTTATCCTGTGACAATTAAATATCGTGATTAGATCTCATTATTCTAAGGAAACATTTTAGGCAAATGGTGTACGATTTAGCAGGAGATTTTGTAATCAAAAATACTCTTAAAATTATTTTCTTTCGTAATTTCTTATTAATGTAATAGGTAGGTACTGCAAAATTAAGAGCACCTCAACTTCATGGGTATTTCAGATATCAAAAAATAATTGAAGTCACATTTGGAGCCACCAGCTGATTTTCCTTCAAAAGCCTACAACTTATGCCTAAAACATTTCCAAAATAATGAGATTAAAAAATGCTACGTGATAAAAAAAATCCTATAAATATCATATAAATACTAAAATATTACAGATGCAAAAAATTAGTATGCTTAGATTTGCAGATTATATAGCAGTATTAGCATCTACCAAGGAAGAGTTAGAGTTAGCTAGAAATGGAAGCTGTATTGACAAAACAGTGTTGTACGAAAATAAATAAAAGTAAAACAAAAAAAGGAAAAGTAGAGAAAGAGCGAATATGAAGATAGAAGACGAAAAATTAGAAGTGGCTGTTTTTAGGCATCTAGGAGGTCAGATAAGTTAGGACGGAAGGAGTAGTAGGAATATAAAAAAGAGGATAGCGCAAGGTCGAGTCGCTTTCAATGAAACAAAGTCACTTCCATGTTCGCGAACGGTTAATTTAGAAATTCGAAAAGGTTATTAAAGGTGTATGTTTGGAGCACGGCGCTGTACGGGTGCGAAACATGGACAGTGGGCAGTGTTCAAAATGTGGTATTACAGGCGAATGATGAGGATACCGTGGATAGAAAAGGTTAGAAATGAAGAGGTATTAGAAAAAATAAGTCAATAAAAAATAGGCGAGATAAGTTGGTAGGACAGCTTCTCAGGCATGAAGGTCTAGTCAGAGACATATTAGAGGCAGAAATGGGAGTTAAGAGGAGTAGAGATAGACCTAGATTAGATTACTGTTCACAAATAGTTAAGGATGTGGGCTGTTATAGTTTTAGGGAAATGCGAAGATTAGTTCAGGATAGGAAAGAGTGGAGGTGCATATCCAACCAGTCTTAGGACTGACGACCTTATGATGATGATGAGGTGCAATTTAAAGTATTCCGCTTTGTTTAAAAGGTTTTAAGAGTTCGTTTATTTTAAGATGGTCTTCAGTTAAACGTTATTGAAGAAATATATTCCATACGTTCACCATTTCCAACTTCAAATTTAGTTGTCGGCATATTTCTTTTCGAAAGCACGAGCAAAAATTATTAATTTTGTGAACGTATAGAATATATTTTTTAACATCGTCTACCTAAAAATATCTCCTGATTCTTTGAAAGCGGTCCTAAAATAACTCCACTCTCAAAACCTCTTGAACAAAACATTACACCCTCAAAGGCTTTACATTGCATTATTTGCATTGCTTTATGAAGAGATGACTGAAGGTATTTGTACGAATTTTCCTATACCGCGTTGTATTTTTGAAAAGATGATGCCGCCCTTTGATGCTTTGCGTATAATATACCTGATATCCCTATGTCGGTTGTCAACACGTCACCATTATATATCTTAACGGAGATGTATGTAATTCGTCATTGTAAACAATTCCTAGGAAATGTATGTAATTCCTAAATTCGCCCGGAAATGCGTGAAATAAATTATATTGGACATATTTCCTAGGAAATCTATACATTTCCTAAATAGCAATCGGAAATTTATGACATTCAAGATGACAATGGATACGCGAGGATAGCGTAATGAGGGGATAGTATTCATTTTATTCACAGAAAGCATTAGTTCTATACATTTCCTAGTAAAATAACGGAATTTCATACAATTCCTAGGAAATGTATACATTTCCCAGGATATGTGTGTATTAAAAATCTATGAAACTGTATTTTAGACATTTCTTTAATAGCCTCGGAATTATAAACATTTCCTAAAAATTATATACAATTCCTAGATTTCATAGATTTCCGGTAACNTTTTATTATCAAAAATCCAAAATAAATTCAATTAGTTTTTTACACAAAATAATTCCGAATTCTACCAATGCAGACTAAATATTTTATTAAGGGTGTGTTCCGAAATATAATCCAGCATACTGGCCAGTGCTGATGACGTCATGATTGGACGCCATATTGTACTGGTGTGCCACCATATTATATTGTATTGGTGAGACAGGTGTGACGTAATAGTATATCAAAGAGGCATGAGTGCATCAGAATTTGAGGAATCTTTTACTGTAAGAAACTTTAATAATTTTTGGAGCAAAACTGTTGTTAATAAGCACAAACACTATTTTCAATATGACGGCTACGAACTGGCCAGCATATTTCGGAACGAAGCAACAGTATGGCGTCAATTCATGACGTCATCAGCATTGACCAGTACGCTGGGTTATATTTCGCAACACACCCTAAGTCAGTAATTTATCGAAACTGCCACATGTGGATCGCGATTTCGATCTTGTTTAGTCTCACCTTGACTCCATACATATCGTATTATCAACAATAATAGACACTAATCATGATAACAATTGTACATACATGCGCGTTAAAAGTTTTCCTTCTATTTACATAATTATTTAGACGCCATATACAAACAATAATTATGTATTTATTTAACCAATATTTTTGACTACGTTTTTAAATAATTTCATCGTATAGCCCTACCCTCCTGACTCTTGCAACACCTGAGATATCCGAGCCATCGGTGACAATCCCGCGCTTGAATCGGGCACGTGCTCGCTAATTCGCATCACGTTGCTAACTTCATACTATTTTCATTACTTGCGCGCGCAAGTTCCGTTGCATGGTGCGCGCAACATCCTTTATGTTGTTAGGCTACTTATAGTACTTCTCCATCTAATTGCGATTGATAAAATGGGTATAGATTGGATTATGTTCTCAATATGACAGACGTCATCCTCTTCCTTACACAGCAAAACATCTTCCTTCTCTAAAAATTAAAAAATTCAATAAAAGCCATATATTAATCAAGTAATACGGAAAAAAACATTTTTCATCATTCTTTTAATTGTTGGGTGGCAGTTACTATCACATTTTGAAGCTTACAAATCCAACAAATTGGAAACAGCTACGTATGCACCTAAATTGAAGCTGCAGCTGTAAAATACTGAAACATCAATTACTAAATCTAATTGATGGATAACTATAGAAATTTTTAATTATCAAGAGCGTCTTGCACGAAATTGTTATTAAAGTTTCGTTCGTTCCGTCGGCAATTTACTGAAAATGTGTATCTGTTCATTAAAAGATTTCCAATTTTCGAATCGCCTTGAACTCTGACAGGAACTGCAACCTCTAATGACGATACGTAATTGGATAAGTTTAATCAAACACCACCCCAGCATCTTCGTCCTTCCGATAATTAAGGGTAAATATGATTAAATTGTAGAGTTTTGCATATTTATAAAAATAGCACGACCATTAAAAAAAATTAAGATAACAAATACTTTTAGATTAGTTCAGGATTTATTGAAAAAACTAATTATACGTTTTACCTTATTGCAGCATCTGCACGAGCTTCACTAATTAACCGTTTCTACTTAAATATCCACAAAGAGTTCGTAACTTCGTCGTTTTGTGACATTAAAATAACTTCAAACGTGGGAAATTCAATTAGCGGAATGATTATTTTACTAAAATATCAACATAAAAAATGTTTAGCAATTTACTTTCTAAAATTAATCGTAATTGTCCACAAAGAGTTAAAAACTTGGTCGTTTTGTGACATTAAAACAACTTCAAACGTGAAAGAACCAATTAGCTGAAATATTTTTATATAAAACATGAACTAACTTATTAAATTTTAACTTCCCTAATTCAAAAATATAAACTGCCAGCGGGTAGTAGGATGATTTTGTATAGGTAATTGGTTTGTTTCTGACATAATAACAAGCCTGATAAAGATGGTTTAAGGGAACGAATAACCTCCTAAGTTGTGTGAAGTTCAAAAAGTATCAAGAAAATATTTTTTTGCGAAAAGTGAGCAGAAGTGATTTTGATAAAAAATGGGGAATAGTGGATAGGTAGAAATAATATTTATAGAATCTATACGCAGGTTAGAAGGGATGGGGTAAATGTCCAACTAGTCCTAGGATTAACGACGCGATAATGAAAAACACTTCGCATCACTAAGAAGTGCAATGAACTTTAAGCTATCTTTCAATTTACGAAAAACTCTTCTTTCCTGAACGAATGAAAAAATAGGCAATCGATTTAATTCATTTCATCTATTTTCTATATACATACTAGCTTTTCTCAGCGGCTTCGCTCGCAAAAAATAATATAGTCAACATTACGTTTAGCTGTCAGTTGCGTTTTGTTATACCATTTTTAACAAATGAACGGCTAGACTGATGATTTGATTTATAAATTTTTCATTTTGCTGTCATTTGCGTTTTGTCATTCCATGTCAGTTGCGTTTACATATATGACGTTTTCCTGGTGGAAATATCCTATGTCCTTCTCCCGGTTGTAAGCTACCTCCCCACCAATTTTCAGCCAAATCGGTTCAGCCGTTCTTGAGTTATAAATAGTGTTACTAAAACGACTTTCTTTTATATATATATAGATTAATAGCACTAATAAAATAATAACGGACTTTCTGAAACAGTCACATCTGTACCTATCTTATTACTCATTTAATCGTGACTTTCTTCTTCATATACTGTGGATAGTTTTCTGGCGGACAGCATGATATATTATTTTATAGTCCCTCATGGAACATAAATTTCCTATAACAATTAACCTTAAACCGAGCTATTATTATCATTCAGTTGGGAATACAGTGATCCCATCTGCTTTAGCTAGAATTTTCCTGAGTAATTAAAATTGATCGTATACCTTCCTACTGATTCGTATTTGTAAGATAAAAGCGGTCCCCGATGATTTTATTGTAGACGCAGCAGCTGACGTTAG